AACTCTATAGCATGGGCCTCTTAGGTTCAAATCCTGGCTCTGCTACTTTCTAACCATGCAATCTTGGGCAAGTTATTTAACCTCTTTATGTCTCCATGTCTTGGCTGAAAAATAGAGATAGCCCAGCTGGAATGGCTCAGTGGTCGAGCATCGACCTATGAATCAGGAGGTCACGATTCAATTCCCCACCAGGGCACATGCCTGGGTTGCAGGCTTGATCCCCAGTGGGAGGAGAGGTGATGCAGGATGCAGCCGATTAATGATACTCTCTCATCATTGATGTTTCTATCTCTCCCTCTCCCTTCCTCTCTGAAATCAATTAAAAAAGAGAGAGAGATAACATCTCAGAGGATCATGTGAGGATTAAATGAGCTGATCCATGAGAAACATTTGGAACAGGGTCTGACCTATAGCAAGTGCTCAGTGAGTGTTGGAAAGATCATTTCCCAAGCTTCTTACTTCACAGAACCGCCCTAAACCTACAGCTTCAACTCTTCTCTATATATTGCCCCCCACACATACTAGACTCTCTTCCTCCAGGACAAAGGTTAGCATTAACATAAAAAGTCATTCTCACCCTAGCCGGTTTGGCTCACTGGATAGAGCGTCGGCCTGGGGACTGAAGGGTCCCGGGTTCGATTCCGGTCAAGGGCATGTACCTTGGTTGCAGGCACATCCCCAGTGGGGGGTGTGCAGGAGGCAGCTGGTCAATGATTCTCTCTCATCGATGTTTCTAGCTCTCTATCCCTCTCCCTTCCTCTCTGTAAAAAATCAATAAAATATATATATATTTTTTAAAAAGTCATTCACGCTTCCTCATTGATTATGATCCTCCCCCACCCCACCTCCACCAGCTTATAAGGCAAATTCTCCCAAGAAAAGGGAGAAAAGTTGGTTCCACAGCAGTACTACAAATGCTGAGACATTCTGTCTCCAACTACACTTCTCTATCCATCACCCTTGACATCTCAGGCTCCCCAGTTCCCCACTGCGCGGTCCCTTATGCTCATAATTTAAGAGCCTCACCCCACCCATCCCACCCTCTAAAAGCCAGCCTCAGCCTCTATAGTTCTTATCAAAGGTTTGTCTTAACAATAAGAAACGGCAGAACATTAGCACCATGTGCAGAAATAATCATAGTAGTGTCTACTTTAAAAATGTTCACTCTTGGTTGCCAAATGGGAAGGGATTTGAGGGTCTGGGTGACAAAGGCGAAAGGATTAAGGGGTGCAAATTGGCAGCTATAAACTAGTACAGCATAGGGAATACAGTCAATAATATTTTGATAACTATATATGGTGTCAGGTGGGTGCAAGACTTATTGGGGGGATCACTTTATAAGTTATACAGATGTCCAATCATCATGTTGTACCTAAAATTAATATAATATTGTATGTCAACTGTAATTGAAAAATAGGTACAATTTTTTAAAAAGAATGCTTACTCTTTCTCTGTATACATGTTAGATCTCCTTTCACTCTTTTTAGAGCTGAGAAACTGAGGCACTTACAGAGTCATAGAGAAGATGGAGAGCTGGGCTTCTGACTGGGGATGTGTAACCTCAGACCCTATACTCGAAACCACTCCAGTGGTCGGCAAACTGCGGCTCGCGAGCCACATGCGGCTCTTTGGCCCCTTGAGTGTGACTCTTCCACAAAATACCGACTTCTGCGCATGGGCCACGAAGTTTCAATCACACTGTACATGTGCGCCTGCACGTGGTATTTTGTGGAAGAGCCACACTCAAGGGGCCAAAGAGCCGCATGTGGCTCGCGAGCCGCAGTTTGCCGACCACTTTACTAAGCTATGTGGGAATGGGCACAAAGTGGCCGGATTGCTTCCTGGGGGTGGAGTTAGACCAATGGAGCTGAAACTTTTTATCCCACCATAAATTACACTTAGTGCCATTTAACAAAAGTAAAATGGTCAGTTTTTATGAAAAGGGAGTTTATGTTCACAGGCATTGTTATCGTATTTACCATTAAGCCCTGTTTTAAAGAAAACAACAATGGCTGCATTGTGAGGAGTCCATATATTGCTCTGACACATCAGAGGTACTCACTGGGAGGCTGGAAGCAGAGGGGATCAGGGAAGCGCTGAGTCAGCCAACACAAACTCACCAACTTGTGGCAGCCAGGGCAGCAGCAGACAGAAAAGTCCTGGCCACTGAGGAATGTGAATCTTTAGTCACTGCCACCGGACCTTTACCTACCACCAAGACAACTTCCCAGTCACAAGGCAGGGACCGCTGGATCACAGCATCTCCAAGGCCCTCTATGGCTCTTACTTCCCATAAGTGTAAGAGCCAACAAAACAGGCAGTGCCTCCTCCAGGCCACCTGGTATAGTCGGAGGTGATCCCTGTCTGCGTCCCAGCATCCTGCCTCCCAGGCCCTAGAATACTCCTGCCTGCGTTGCTTATTGCCAAGATGGGAATAATCCACCAGCGAGAGTAAATGCAGGGAGCTCTGAAGGAAGAAACAAGTGTGAGTGCCAATCACTGGGCTCGCTGTTTCAACAAAGTCCCTATGAGCTACCGCTGCCTGGGGGCACGCGAGCAGAAGAAGGGCTTCTCAATACCAAGGCAAAGAGGTCGTAGATGGCAGATTCTCCCAAAGGCTCTTCCAGATCCCAGCAAGTGGAGAAGCCACTAACACCTGAGCGGCACCAGGGCCCTGTGAGCTTTGGCTGAGAAACAGAAGACAGGCCAGGCCTCCTCGGGGATGCATTGGGGATGGGGACAGCCATCTCCTCCAACTCGCACATGCCGTTTCCAGTCCAGAGGGATCCCAGGAACCTACACTACGTAGGCCCTGGTCTTGAACAGCTCTACCCCGGTCTCCTCAGGAGGAGCATCTTTCACATTGAATTCCACCGAAGCACATTCTCCCACCTCACCCCCATTTTCCTGAGGATGAGCTGGGGCTCCTCAAGCACCTGGCTCCTATACGCAGTTGAAATACCAGCATCCCCATCCCTTAACATCCCGTATTCACCTCTAATCTAATAGCCCTGTGGCCCGGCCCAGTACCCAGAGCCTTCCCACCACAGAGACAGCAAAATCATCCCTGGAGAAGGGCCCCCATCTGTCCCATCCTCTGGCTAGCTGTGAGGGAGCTAGCATCTGGTCCCGAGTTTACAGGTTTCCATGGCCCCAAGCCCAAAGGGGCATGAGCAGGTCATGAGAAAAGACCACCTGACAGGTCTACTCTTCACAACCCGGCCACAAAGGAGGGAACTGTTCTGATGGCCGAGGCTAGACCACAGACTCTAGATCAGGGATCTTCATAGGGTCCCAGTTCTATCGGGCATAGTAACCCTCTGATATCGCACACAGAATGTGTCCCTGCACATGTGCACGTTGTTGGGGGCGGAAGGGTGGGAAGGAGTTAGAAGTTTTATCTGATTCTCAAAGGGGCCCATGTTCCTCCCTATTCATCATCCCTAGGCCATCCTAGCTAGCCATCCAAGGTCTCTCTCCAACTCAAGGATGTGCCCAGGCCCGTGGCATCACTCCTGTTCTCTTGTCTCCTGCCCCTTCCAGCTGCAAAAAGTAGACAGGGCGTTTCAAACACAACCCTCCTGCGCACAGCCTTCAGCTTCCTGGTGACCTGCACCAGGTTTCTCTCTCCATCCCAGAGATGCCACTCTCCATTCAAAGAGGTCCCAGCAGCATAGAGAGCCCGACTTAATCCCACAGGAGCCAAATCTCATGAGATGACTTCCTCCCCGAGGGAGGTCCTGGGGTCCCGCCCTTCCTTCGGCACACCTCGCTAACCCCGCCCAGGCTCTAAAGATGAGCATGCTGGGCAAAGAAAAGCAATGAACGGCCAGAAAATCTTCCTGAGTCCTTTCTCTTGGGCCAGGCGGTCCAGGGTGTGGCAGGGTAACCAACAGGAAGGCTTGTTCCCGCACCCCATCAGCCAGCATCTTTGCTGATGTTCCTGCCTGAGAGTCAGGTGTGGAATGCGATGGATGGTCTTCCTGATCCTGTGTCACCTCTACTCCACCTTATTTCTAAACGCCCTGTCATTCCCCTCACACTCCACTCTCACCCCAAAAAAAGGAGGAAAGAAAAATCTAAAACCTCTCTCCCCCTAAAACAAACTCCTCTCCAGGAATTTAATTTCAGTATCCATTTCTTGGAGCTAAAACTTCTTTTAAGGGGAAAAGAAATGGGCAAGCCATCCCTAGGCGTAAGGCAACCATGCCAGGAGAACATGAAGAGGAAAGAATGAATTGAGGCAACACCCCCTCCCCACTCCTCACCCCCCACTCCTCACCTCCCCCCCCCCCCGCCCCCGCCCCGGCCAACACACACCCCAGATCTTAGAGCCCGGGACACAGAGCCCAGGGGCGGGGAGCAGGGGCGGGGACAGTGCTTTCTGAACTTTCCCCAGCCAGGACGCCGGGAGGTGCAGCTCCCAGGGGACCGGGTGGGACCAGACCAGGCTGGGGAGACCTGTGACATCGGCGGGGGCAGGAAGTGAACCTCCCATCCTCCTAAAAGGAGCTCTGCCCCCAGCCGGCGCCCCGGCCAGCCGTCACCAACCTGCCAGCGCCCCCAGCCCGGGGCAACGCGGGGAGGGGCGCGCACACAAAAGGGGGAGCGGCCGCGTAAGGGACTCCGGGCGGCGCCTGCTGGGGGAGGCCTCGCTGCCCTGCCCGGCGCCGCCCGCCCGCGCCCACCCCTCCATCGTGCGCCCCGCTCCCAGTCCCCGATGCCCGCGCGCCCCGCGCGCCCACGGCCGGGAAGGAGGTGGGGGCTCGGGAGGGAAGCGAGGCCGAGCCCTGCCGCACGCGGCCGAGCGGCGAGAGCTCCGGGGAAGCCGCGGCGACAACGCGGGGAATCAAACTCGCGCCGGCCCGGCCCTCCCGGCGGGGGCTCGGCGATCGCGATCGGTGCCCGAGAAGGTGGGGCCGCCGGGCCGGGGCCGAGCCCGGGATGGCGCAAGGGGCGGCCAGCGACGGCCGCGCCCGGGGACGAGCGGGAGGTCTTACCGAGCAGCCGCCACGCGCGTCCGCGCCCCGCGGGCCGGTGGGGCCGGCGGGCTGGGGGAGGGGCGGCGATCCCGCGGCGGCGGGCCCGGCGCGGCGGCGCGGCTGGGGCGCGGGAGGCGGAGAAAGCGAGGCGAGGCCAGCTTCCTAGCGGCGGGCGGCGAGAAATGCAGCTGTCCTCGCGCGCCTGCCGGCGGGGCCACAAGTGGGGCCGCGCGGGGAGGAGCGGGGCTGCGGCGGGGTGGGGGCCCGTGGCGGAGCCCCCAGACCCTCTCCGACGCCCGATCCCTTTCTGGAGCGCAGGGCCGCAGGCACGGGCGTGCAGCCGGGGAGCCACGCGGGGGCGGGCGCGGGGGTCGGCGGGTGAAGATCAGGAAATCCTCGCCTTGCCCTCTGCCCTCGCCCCAGCCGCGGTGACTCCCGGGCTGAGGGGCAGGATGGCACGAGCCAGGAGCCTGGGGATCCCGGGCGAAGCTGGTGCGGGGCGTCCTGCCTCTCCAGGCTCCGGGACAGGCGCCGGGAAGGCGCATCCGGGAGAGGATGGGGCGGGGAGACCCGAGACCTTAGCTCCGAGGGGAACCGAAGAGCAGGGCTGCCCCGAGAAGGTTCGGGATGTGGACCCACACCCGGGGCCTGGGACAGCTGGGGGGTGGGAGCGGGACGGCCGCCGGGAAGTTAGGGCTCGGGAAAGGAAACAAAATTAAATGCCGAGGTCAGAGGAGATGGTGGAAGGAGGTCGGGAAATCAGAGACTATTCCCCACTCACCCATCGGCTACCACCTGCCATCTCCCCATCTCCTCCTCAACATCCCTGGCCATCTCAGGGGTTTCTGAGACCTGCGAAGATTTCCCACAGACCTTGTCAATAAATGGGAACTCAACTTTGGCTGATATTTTTCCATGTGGTTTGGTTTCAAACTCCACTTCGGGGGTTGGTAGGGTGGGGCAGGTGGTGATCACCAAGCAGCTGGTGGGAAGAGGAGCTACCTAGGCCCTACCGTCTCCGGAACCACATGCGGCTCTTTGGCCCCTTGAGTGTGGCTCTTCCTAAGCCTTAGGCGTACCCTAATTAAGTTAATAACAATGTACCTACCTATATAGTTTAAGTTTAAAAAATTTGGCTCTCTAAAGAAATTTCAATCGTTGTACTGTTGATATTTGGCTCTGTTGACTAATGAGTTTGCCGACCACTGAAGGGGATCTGAGGAGGGGGACGGCCAGAACGCAGTTCCAGCTCTGCCCTCCTGGACAAGCCTGCCTTAGAGACCCACTGACCAATCTGGCCCAGACCCCAACCAAGGAGGATCCCCTGTCCCCTCCACCTCTGAGGGCTTACAGTCCCCTAGCTCCGCTGAGAGACATCAACGTTCCTCAGCGACAGCTGATGGTAAAAACCACAAACCAAAGCGCCCAGACACCAACGTGTTCCCCTCATTTGCATGCCAAGGGAAACTTTCTTAAGCAAATTGGGAACCTGAGAGGGGGAGAAACCTCAGAACCGTACCCTCCTTCGGGAGACCCCACAAGAGGTTAGTATGTTGAGTGGAGTTCCAGGACTGGGTCCCAGACCCCTCCGGCCACCTCCTCTCTCCCATCCCTTCTCCCCATGCTCCTTCACTTGAAACCCCAGGAGTGATCCCATCAACCCCCGGTTAAAGATTTTTCATCTAGAGCAGTGGTTCTCAACCTTGGCTGCATATTGGAATCACCGGGGAGTCAGCATGGAGGCATGGGCCAGTTCCTCTAGAGCAGTGGTTCTCAACCTTGGCTGCACATTAGAATCACCGGGGAGTCAGCATGGAGGCATGGGCCAGTTCCTCTAGGGCAGTGGTTCTCAACCTTGGCTGCACATTAGAATCACCGGGGAGTCAGCATGGAGGCATGGGCCAGTTCCTCTAGAGCAGTGGTTCTCAACCTTGGCTGCACATTAGAATCACCGGGGAGTCAGCATGGAGGCATGGGCCAGTTCCTCTAGATCAGTGGTTCTCAACCTTGGCTGCACATTAGAATCACCGGGGAATCTTTTTTAAATCCTGATTTCTGGGCCACATCCTCCGAAAATTCTGTTTCTTTGTTATGGGGTGAGGCCACAACATTAGTAACAAAGAAACAGAATTTCCGGAGGATGAGGCCCAGAAATCAGGGTTTTAAAAAGATTGCCAGGTGATTCTAATGTGCAGCCAAGGTTGAGAACCACTGATCTAGAGGAACTGGCCCATGCCTCCATGCTGACTCCTGGCTGCTGTCCTGAGATTGTGACTGAGAGCTCAGGATTTGTCCTGCCTGCTGGCCGTCTAGATGAAGTTATCATGTGTGCCACCTTACACTTGCCCACAGGGCAGTTCATCTGCCCCTTTTCTGCTTACTGGCATCATCTTCCCGGTCACCTTGGCATTTCCGGGGCCAGGAAAAGGCATCTGCAAACATGGAGATGTTTGTACTCCACTCTGAGCGCTCATAAAAGCATTTAGTTCATTACTGATACAGTTACCAAATGAAACCAGTCACTGTAATGGACGCTCTTCCTTGAAGAACTCTTCCTTTCAGAGCCGTCTTCCTAGAAGCTTTCTTCAGACCCCTTTCCTGCCTTTGAGACCCCTGGGTAACCTCCCTACCTCCCACCAGGGCCTCGGAGCTGAGTTCTCCAGGGTCCCAGGCCAGACCGCCCTCCTGCGTGCCAGCCCCTCACGCACAGGGGCCTCCAGAGGCTCTTCCCCTGCAGGTTCTTCAGACCCCTCACTGCAGAGACTAAAAGTGAACTCCAGCTCACAGCCCTTCCCTCCCCAAGTCTCCTCCTCATCCTCTGGCTTAGCAGCTGGAAACCTTAGTCCTCCTGTCCCTTTCCCTTGATTCTACTGGTTACCAAGTTCCATGTATTCCTCCTTCACTCATCCAACAATTGTTAACAAATGGTACACAAGAGCATGCGCCTGAAGCTTAAGAACTAGCCACATTGTCCCAGCCCCAGGTGACCTCCTCTCCTCCTCCAACCACAAAAGGCAGTTTAACAAGACCCAAGGTGGAAAAGAAAGTGGGGTAGACATCCAGACAGTTAGGGTAACCCTATTCCTTTCTCCAGTCTCACTGAATTGACCGAGAAACTGAGGAAACTTTGAAAAAAATTGCCCTGGCTGGCTTGGCTCAGTGGATAGAGCGTCAGCCTGCGGACTGAAGGGTCCCAGGTTCGATTCCGGCCAAGGGCACATGCCTGGGTTGCGGGCTCGTTCCCCAGTGAGGGGTGTGCAGGAGGCAGTCAATCAATGATTCTCTCTCATCATTGATGTTTCTATCTCTCTCTCCTTCTCCCTTCCTCTCTGAAATCAATAAAGAAATATATTTTTTTAAAAAATTGGTGCTATTACTTGGGGGTTTTGAAAGAAAACATGGGTGAAGGTGAAAGCAGTGACCCCCCCAAAAAAGTGACCCCCTTCTGGGACAATAACTAGATGGATGCCTGTGGGATTGCCAATCTCCACCCCATTTTAGAGAAGGCTCTCTGGAGCCCTCACCCCTTCCCAGAGTGGGTGCCAATGTCATGCCTGTGGCACTTTCTTCGGACCTTTCTATTCTTGCATAACAAACTGCCTTCTTGCAGTCCCTTTGTCCATCCGGCCAGCCTATCTATACAGCACATGGTGTTGTGGCTGGTCTCTGTGTGTGCCAGGGAGGTAGGGGCTGTCTTCTCTCTCAGCGCCTGAACCTCCCAGCCCAAGGCCTAGCTGGCCCAGGAGTGAGTCAATATTTGCCGAAGGGCTGACTTCTGACAGGTGGGCGAGATATGCCTGGCTTGTCCTCAGAAACCACGTGTCTTCCCTGCACTGGTAATCCTTTGTGAGGCTCCAGGGGTCCTGCCCTCTGTACAGAGGCCACCCGCTGGTCTTGTACAAGGTGGTGAGGTGGAGAGCAGGCACAGATAAATGGAATTCCATGTAACCACTAAACTTGCTTTTAAAGTATATTTAATGCCTATAAAAATGTTACGATGTTATGAGAAAGGGAGGCTATAAACCAGTACATATGCAATATGAGCCAATTTATTTTTATTTAGTTATAAACATAGAAGAAAATATGCCAACATGTTAACAATTGTTAGATGAGTGTTTTTATAGATAACTTTTATTTTGTTATTAGTATTTTTCCAGATTTCTTTCAAATTTCCTCCATTGGCCATAACATTCCTTTAAATCAAGCATGTCAAACTCAAAAGCTAACACGGGCCAAATAAACGAGGCATGCAGCCCACGGGCCACGAGTTTGACATGCTTGCTTTAAATGGTGTGTGTATATATGTGCCTACATTTAGCCTTCAAGATCTATATGATTAGAAGGAAGTTAAACATAACTAACTTTCCTCCATGATTATGCTTAACTTGGGCTATTTCGGTCCAGTTCCATGACCATCCCCAAAGATGAACAATATGTACTCCTCTTCGTCCCCCAAGTCTAAGGGGAAGGGAGATGTGGAACAGCTAGCAGGTAATACAAGGCTGAGTGTGACAGTTACTGAAATCAAGGTGTATGCAGAGGGCTCCAGGGAGGAAGTGGTTAATTCTCATGGGTGGCGGGGTCAGAGAGGGCACCTTTGAACAGCTTGCTTTTGAGCTGTGCCTTGAGAGATGAACCCTTTCGCTGGGGTGAAGGGCATTCCCATCTGGGGCACAGCAAAAGCTACGGCATGCTTAGATGTGGGTGAATATCCACTGTGGCCAGAGTGTGGGGTGGATGGCAGCAGTGGGAGTAGGGGGCTCAGACAGCAAGATGAGGCTGGAAAGGCAAGGCGGCTGTGACCATGAGTGGCCTGGATCACCAAACTAAGGGGTCTGCAAAGAAGGAGTATTTGCAGGCTCCAACCTGAATTTCATAGAATATTAACATTAACTTTGACTTTCCTGACAACGCCTAGAGTTGAGGCAGTAAGCTCTCTTGCTGCTGCACCTGACCAGCTCCTGGGGGAAGCCAGCCTGGAGTTAAGCATTCGCTACAAATAATCCACAGAGGTTTAAAGGTTCAAGCCCAGCTTGGAGCAGCAGAGTTTAGCTCCTCCTAAACCCCCTCTGCCCAGTATGTATAGTGTAGTGGCTAAATGCCAGTCGGGCCAGCAGATGACTAAA